GGAAAAAAGATACGATGGATTTGAATATATGCTAATACATAATAGAACACTTACAGTGAAAATGCCATGTGAAGTGTTTTTAAAATATGAAAATGTTTTTATAGGTCTAACAAGAAGCCTAAGTATAACTTCAGGTGAAACGTTGTTTGAAACAGAACAAGGAGAGAAAGTTACATTGCCGTGTACTTTTGAACTCTCTGAAAAAGATGAAGGCCCACTGGATATTGAGTGGGTATTGATACCAGCAGATAATCAGAAGAAGGAACAAATAGTAAGTGCAGACTTTTTTGAAAGGTGTTAATGGAGTTGTTTGAGTAGGTCAACATACGAATTCTGTTACTGACTTTTCAAAGTTTCATCTTTTCAGATTGGTTTGCTTGTAATCTTAAATAATTTTGAAACACCAGTCATACAAAATGTAGTGGAAGTTTTGGAATAGCAGATTAAGTATGAAATGTCAAGATATTTCCCACTATAACATTTTCTTCTAAAGAACAACTTAAATTAAATATGTATCAGTTCCAGAAAACAGTGTGATTTTGTACCTGCATTATTTTCCTGACGGAAAACTGATTTATGAGGGTTTAATTTTTAAAATATTGACCTTAGTTACTAATTCTGTCCTTTTTTTGGAAGTCATATCAATATAACGACTCCTTTTAGTAGATGGGTTTCACAGAATGAAATTAGAGTGTCTTCATTTTCCTTTCAGTTAGAAGTCAATACCAAAATACTGTAATAGGGCAGATGTTTGGTTGGAGTGTTTGTTAGAGAGCTGTGTGTGGTGATATTTTTGAGACAGATATCTGAATTTATCATACTTCTGGAATTATTTAAAATAGTGGAAAGAAACTGTGTCAGGAATCTGAAGATACCAAATTACTTTGAACATTTACATGCCAAGTGGATTTATGAATCATGTTTCTTTTTTTATAGCTAATTATGTATGCTGTAGACAGGATTTATAATAATTACTATGCTGCTATGACTGGACGGATGCAGTTTACTAATCCTGATCCCAAATCTGGTGATGCTTCGTTGGATATCCTGAATTTAAAGTCAGAAGATACTGGCACGTACCAGTGCAAAGTGAAGAAGGCTCCTGGAGTTCAAAGCAAAAAAATACAGTTGATTGTACTTGGTACGTTAACACTTTTCTTGAATTTTCAGTGACATTTTTAATGTTTATTCCATCCTGTCTTTGATGTCTGAAAGGATAAAAGGGATGAAGGGGATAATATTCAGAATGAGCATTTTAAAAAATTCTATGGCTTGTATTTCATAGAAAATATTGCCATGTATAGATATGGTTTGTTGCACAAGCTTTGTCTTTAGCAAGATGACCTGACCTACTGGAACACAACTAGTGAGTGTTTTGATTGTGACTTACTAATTCAATAATACTTTGTTTACTAGTAAGACCAGCAAGAACTAAATGTTCCATTGAAGGATCACAAGAGATTGGAAAAGATGTTACCTTGAAATGCGCATCACAAGAAGGATCCCCACTTTTGTCTTATGACTGGAGGAGAGTATCTGGCACACAGGAACTTCCTGCAACTTCTATGCTGAGTACTGTAAAAATTTAATTATTACTCTGAAATATTTAAGAAAGATTGTGCTTGTATTTTTGGCTTATCTGGACTTTTAAGCATGTAATATATAATATAAAGTAGTCAAGATGGAATTTTTTTTGGAAGAGTACTGCTCAGTACCAGTTCTTGACCTTGTTTCCAGTTACGCAAACCTTAACCCTTGAGGTGGTCGGGTTTCCTTGCAGATGATGGAGTTTAAGGACGTGCGTACAAATAGACGTATTTTAACACAGGTTGTATAGGACATACAGGACAAAGTGTATCATGTGTCTACGAGTAGCTAAAGCAGGTGCCTAGGGGAGAGTAAGTTGTGTGGTTCCTCCTCATAGAGGTCTCCTAACTCCTGTAGTTTATGCCTCAGGAAATTCAGATGTGGCTTCAGTTTAATTTATGTAAAACAAACAAAAGCTGACTTCTGTGACCTTCTCCAACTTCCTTTAAACTTCTGTGGTCTATTAGAATCTGTAATATCTTCAAACACAGATCACTAAAAACCAGCTACATATGAGGAATCTTCATTTTGAACTTGTCTCCTAAGGGTGCTGTTTGATGTCTCTCAATTCTTGTTTTCACAGTAAACAATTGATCACTAATGTCCTTCTCTTTACCAGTCAAGATCTTTAGCCCCTGCTGTTATACCCCTTCTGCTCCAGCAGGTCCATGTCTTCTGTAGAAGGCTCTGGAGCTGGGCACAGTACTCTGGGTGAGGTCTTACCGGAGTAGAGGGCCAGAACCACTTCCATCAGTTTGCACTTGTTTTGATGCAGCCTGGGATATGGTTGGCTTTCTGGGCTGAGTGCACATGGCTGGCTCATTTCCAGTTTTCCATCTACCAGTACTCCCAAATCCCCTGTGGGGCTGCTCTCAACCCCTTCGTCCCACAGCCTGTGTTGATACTGAGGATTGCCCTGACCCAGGTGCAGGACCTTGCGCTTGGCCTTACAGAACCTCATGAGGTTCACGTGGGCCCACTTGAGAAGCTTGTCCAGATCCCTCTGGATGCAATCCTGGCCCTTGTGTGCGTCGACTGCATCGCTCAGCTTGGTGTCCTCTGCAAATTTGCTGAGGGTGCACTTGATCCCATTGCATCATTGATCTCGAAGATACTAAACAGCACTGGACTTTTGAGAGACACCACTTTTTACCAGTCTCCATGCTTGTGGCAACTGATGACATGAACCCAGTTCAGGAGTGAAGCTGAGATGTTTATTTTTACACAGATATGATTTACCACAACTTGCTTGTAAGAACTATATAAATGTTCATTGGTCCTGGGGACATCCAGTGGTGGTTGTGATGGCTCTCCATTGGTTCCTCACTCTCCTCAAGTCGCAGAACTACATGTTGACCACACAGAGCAAGTTCTCAGCTCTACTTCCTTATGTCATCAAGTTAGCCTGCCCAAGGGTCAGCCAATCATGAGGAGTTCTGTGCTCTTGCCTCAGCCCCCACACTTGTCCAGGGTCCCATTCCACAGCTCACTGCACAACTCTAATTTATCACCTCCCACACATGCTGACATCAAGGCATTGACCACTAACCTCTGGATATGACTATCCAACCACTTTGTTGTCCAGTGAACAGTCCACCCATAAAATCCATATCTGTGCAATTTAGAGAGAATCAAAGCTTTAGAGATCATCAAAGGCTTTACAGAAGTCCAGTTAGATGACATCTACAGCTCTTCCCTTGTCTGCGAATGTAGTCACTCCATCACGGAAGTTCACTAGGTTGGTCAGGCAAGACTTGGCCTGAGTGAAGCCATGCTGGCTATCTTGAATCCCCTCCCTGTCCTCCATGTGCCTTAGCATAGCTTCTAGGAGGATCTGTTCCATGATCTTCTCAGCCACAGAGGTGAGGCTGACAGCTCGGTAGTTGCCATGCTCTTCTTTTCTACTGTTTCTAAAAAGGGATGCAGTTCTTCCCTTTTTCCAGTCACTGGAGACTTCACCTCACTGCCATGACTTATCAAATGTCATGGAAAGTGGCTTGGCAACTACGTCAGCAGATTCCCTCAGAACTCTGGGATGCATGTCATCATGTCCCATAGACTTATGTATGTTCAGGTTCCTCAGGTGCTGTCATGGTTTAGGGTCAAAGCCATCCCTGGACCTGTAACAGATGCTCTCTGTTAAGCTCTCTGTCTGCAAAAAAGGGGAAGAAAAAGGGAATAAGGAGAGAGACTTACCGATTAGAAAAGTAAAACAGCTTTAATTAAAATAATAATAATGCTACTAAAATGGAATATATTCAAATATATACAAAACCATTGTGGAACCCAACTCCCCCCTGATGGCAATATGTCACCGTCACCAATGCTGGGGAGCAGCCCCGAGGGAGAAGTCCCAGGCTGGACTCAGCCACAGAGTAGAAGCAGCTGGATACAGGAGCTGGATTCTGGAACTTCGTTCAGGAGCACACGGCTTGGGATCAAAAGCAGAATGGACAGAGACCTTGTGTGCCAGACACTGGAGGAGAGGAAAAAGAAAGGAAAGACCTTGACCCTTGTGATCCTTCAGCTTTATACTGAATATGAGGGATACGGGATGGAATGCCCCACTAGTGAATTTAGGGTCACTTGTTGTGTCCGCTTCTTCCTGCAGGTGGAGATTTACTTTCTGCACCCCTCAGTGTGGTACACAGGATTTAGCAGTGACTTGGTCTGCAGATCAACCCTTGGTGGTAACTGAATGTGGAGAGTTATCACTGCTAGAACCAGACTCTATGTGAAAATACGCTGCTAACTTTCAGCCAGTGCAGTTAGTTGTCATAGAATCATAGAATGTCTGGGCTGGAAGGGACCTCCAAAGGTCATCTAGTCCAACCCCCTGCCATAAGCAGGGACATCTCAAACTATAGCAAGCTACTCAGAGCTTCATCCAGCCTGCTCTTGAATGTCCCCAGGGATGTGGCCTCCACCACCCATCTGGCAACCTATTCCAGTGGTCTGTCACCCTCATATTGAAGAACTTTTTCCTAATGTGTAACCTGAATCTACCCTTTTCTAGCTTAAACCCATCACCCCTCATCCTGTCACTACCTACAAAAGCTTGTGTTGAGGGCTGATTCTCAATAGATTGCAGCAAGGGAGCTGCTCTGCTGCGTACAAAACCCTGACCCAGAATCAGGTCATCTGTGAATGATTTTGTGTTGGGTGCCTGTTCTGCCAATGACTAGGCCTAACATGAAGGACACAGCCAGCAGTAAGACGAACCAATAAGTGGACTGTATTGTATACAAAAAGGACATTCCATGAATGATCAATGGGGGTACAAACAAGTCAATTAGTTCACATGCAATTGACATTACCCCCAACCATCCCTAGAAAGATATCACCTGACCAACAACAGATGGTACGAGCAAAGAACCAAGGTTTCCCATGGATGGAATGGGAAACAGCCAGATCAGGAAGTTGAATAAATAAGATAAAGGTGGCCACGTGGCAGCTCTCGCCCTTCTAGCCTATGTTTGCAAAGA